TGTAGGGCTGGAAGCCTTCTACACCAAACCAAGCTTCTGCCGCCCTGGCGTCCTCCTCCACGCCCGCTTACCTCCTCTAAATAAAAAATGGATGACGGAGGAGACTCATCCAAGACCTCCGACACTAAACACTCTTCCTTTTGCATGTTTCCTCTGTCCATAGCGTTCCTTGACAGCGTCGTTTCTAAGTCACCAATTTAGTGCTACTTGGTCCCAATGGAATTTCCCATTGGGAACCTGCTAGCACTAAGATGCTAACTGGTTAGCAAGATGCTTCCGATAAACAGCCACAACCAAACTTGCTTGCGAACCTTCCGACCCAACAATCCCGCCCCCTTGATAACCAACCAATCATATTCACATTATTCATTCGTCTATAGTACGACACCACTAGGGAGAATTCAGAAATGCAACGGTTGGAACTTTGAGCCAGTTTGTTGTTATAGCCTTTTTCAGAACAGAATTTTGAAAAGGTCTGTCATCTTTTGGGAATAGCTACATGGATAGCAGACCCAACAGAAAGATCCTTAGGAACAGCATAAGCATTAAAGTCATCCATGAGCTTAGAGAAACTGTCTCAGAATGCTATTAAACATGTACACGTCCAAAAGATGTGGTAGCTATAGGCTAATGAGTGATCACACAGTCTCCATCATTGTTTCTGATGCCCCAGTAATTAATGAGTAATATGAGGAGTTATAAAATATCTAATTAGGTTGTTCCACCCAAATTCCCTCCACCATGAATGAAGGATCATTTTTCAAATCGGTCTTTCTTCCTGTTCATCTGAGTCGCATCTTTTCTGAAATGATGACATCATAAGTCTCTCTCTCATTCACATCTTTGCAGCCATGTAGCCATTTTTACTTTATCGGTGTGTTCCTGTGTCACAGCACCACCAGTGGCGTGGCGTGTGTACTGCATGTGTTCCCAATGTGTTTGTATTCCTGCTGATCTAAGGGGGACGTTCTCTTCCCCATCAGGAACCATAGACATCAGTCAGCTGCCTCACCCCATGTTGATGCACCTGCGGCTTTTCTTCGACCTGTGGGACGCCTACGTGCTGCAGGCTGTGCAGAGCGGACTTCCCTACATCTCTGATCACGTCATGTTTGAGGTCAGAGGTTACTATGATTCTGCCATCATTCGCCTAAACTCAGAAGAAAATGACCTGAACGCCAAGCGAGGCATTCGTTTATTGTCCTTATTGCCAGCAGCCTGTTTAGGCTCAATCAGCTCCACTTGAAGCCTTAACTTCCCCTTCGCTCCTGAGTTCAGATCAGGTCCCTCAGGCTGCTGCTGTTTTCTCTGGAGCATCACCGGTGGATCTGACCTTGGCTTCCTCTTCGTCCTGCTTTAGATCCTGCAGCTGCTCCAATGGCGCGACCGTTTCTGGGACGTGTGCGTGGCGCTTCCTGCCGACTCTCAGGGCGTCGCAGTGCTGTCTCTGCACTGGCAGTGGGTGCAGAAGCACCTCATCCTCCGCCTTCCTCAGCTGCTGATGGGAGACACAGCTTCGACCTTGGAGTAAACGCTCTTCTTCTCCACTCTCCTCAACAATCAGTGTTAGTTTACAGACTCTGACCAGTGTTTCTGGTTGCTCTATGCAGAGGTCAGCAGGAGCTGCAGGCCGTCTCTGCAGCCATCCAGAACATGATATCCACCCCGGTGTCTGTGGCTGCTGCTCTGAAAGGCATCCAGAGGTCTCTGGGGAAAGCTCTGCCGTTCAAGGTGAGGAAAACGCTCTTAATTACTCTCATTAGCAGACGGTGGGATGAAGCTGAACACGTTGATCCTCTCTCTCCTCCAGCTGGAGTCGGTGGCTGAGTGCGCTTCTCGCCTGCGGCTCCTCAGTAAAGCTCTGGATGCTAACGAGCTCCGGCTGGACGGCTCCTTCAGCAGCTGGAGGCAGGAGCTGATCCAACTTCAGGGCGCCGGACTCTGGCTGGACATGAAGGAAAGCCTCCTAGAAGCGTCGGGTCTGGTTCTGTCAGCAAACAACCAGCTGGATCCACAGCAGTCTGGTAAACCGTCTCCTTCACATTTACAGCCTGTATTTGGATTGTTTCACTCCTCAATAAACTTTAACTATGTAAGGAAAGCCAGCTGATTGCATCGACCTATTGACTCTTCAGCAATC